TTAGCTTAGCATACCTAACATTAGACTTGAGGGAAATCAGCTTGCAGTGAAAATGCCAAATATATAAGACCCAGCTCAGCAGGAAACCTTTAACGCGCAACTCGAGGTCGTTTGCATGTAGAAATCTTAAAGCTACAGTAGCAAACTGTACAAGCTCCTGTTTTTTTTCTTTTTTTCATCGAGAATCAGACAGAAATGTCCACGTGAAGTTAAATTGATGTGAAGCTTGACTAGCATTACAAGTGGACTAGAGGTCGACCGATTGATCGGTTTTGCCACGATAACCGAATGTTGGAACAACATATCCGCAAATATCCATACCGATAGTTTTTCCGAGTTGCATCCGTTGCTGGAGCGGCTGAGAAGAGTCTGCTGTCATCATACAGTACGAGAGCGGCCTCTAGAGGCCAAATAAAAACTATCACTGACGCCTCGTGGAGTTTGTTTTGACTGAGCGGGACTGAGCAAAAATGGTTCTTCTATGGCATCGCCGCAAGAAAAACCCCTTTGGAACATTTATTTTTAAAGGGTAGCTAAACCCCTGGTCAGAGCCTGACTCCACCCACTGGCAATATTGGAAAAATGCTGGAAAAGTGGGCGGAGCCCAGCGGAGATAGAGGGGATGAACGGATACTCTATCCTGATCGTTTTCAATACTCGCAATTCCAACTCCTGACTCGCTACAGTGGTTTTGACGAAACAAGATGTTTTTATACTGCCATGGACGTGGTAGCTCGTACCAAGGGCGTGGTGAGCTGAAACCTGCTTACGTCAGCTCTCACCGCTACCGTCACGTACTACCGCAAACATCCAATAGGAAAATTCAACTGCAGTAGCCACCGTTCAACCTGAAGAGGGCAGCACTCAGACGTTTTTACACTATATAGTGTAGAATTAAAACACTTTATACCCAAATGTCAAAAAAGTTACTCGAATCAATGAACAGCACTAATAAAGCCCCAGTCTTACAGATCATTAATTAAAAAAAGTTGGTTTAGTTACCCTTTAAGGTTGTTTTAATGTATTATTATTAAGAACTCTAGCTGTAAAATAAATTGAAATAAATGTCATCATACAGTACGAGAGCGGCCTCTAGAGGCCAAATAAAAACTATCACTGACGCCTCGTGGAGTTTGTTTTGACTCAGCGGGACACTTCAGATACAGATTTAAAACAGACAATGAAACGGTGTGTGTATAGGACACTACTGTACTTGTTTTCATATCATTATAAATAAATTTGGTAGCTTCGCACATCTTTTCTTCGCACATGGTGACATTTCCAAAAAAAAAAAAAAATGTATTGCTTCTTATGCGTTTCGTTGCGTCACTTTCAAAGTGAATTGTCTAGTGAGTGGTGCTAAAAGCGCGTTAAGAAAAGCCCAACATATGGAGCACGTTATGTGATGAAAAAATCTAAATGTATTAGTTCGCAAATCATGCACTATGGTAAAAGTATTTTGAGGTCATAACATAGTATTGTGTGAGATATTACAAATTAAGGGTTACACTAAGGCTTTATTAATCAATATTCTTCTCCTGTAATCATTACTTGTGTGAAAAGGAATGTTTTCGTCAACCAAACGTGTTGTTTATGGCTACTTTAACGTGTTTCATAAGGTGTAGCTTATTTTATTCCAGACGTAAGCCAGAATGGACTGAATATTGAGTAATAATGTGTTGTATCAGATGACTTCAATGATCCGTTATTTTTTTATACAAGTTTTACTTGTGTTGTGTGTGTGTGGTTTTGACCTCAGATTTGTCACAGTTATTACACACAAGCCTGTTGAAAAGCACATGATGTGTGCTTCAAAGCCGGCTGCTCATTTCTGACTCCTTTGAAGTGTCTGTCACTGTGATATTTCTAAAGATGACTCGCTCTTTATAGCAACTGCCCCTTTTCCTTCTCAAGAAACAATTTTGCATCTGTCATCTGTTGTTTTTTAGTGTATGATCTAAGATGTTTCAGCTTCCGCATGAGTGTGCTTCTTCTGTCTCTTTCTCTGTGGGTTTCTCCCATTATTTGCAAATTTTCTTTCACCTCTCTGCCTTTCTCCCTTGTTTTTTTCCCTTCCTCATCCCATGAAACGGTGGGAGGCTTGGATTTGGCTGTCAGAGCGTGTTGGTGGAGGTGGTTCCTCGGGTGCCAGGAGAAACTTTGATCTTGGCGTGGCACCGGGCCTTCGTTTGCCTCACACTGCTCGTGTTTCCAGATGAAAAGGCTGGAGATGTGTTTCCTCCTCGGGTTTTCTCTCCCCAGAAGTGTAGATGTGTGAATCTACCTTACAGTTTAGTAACTGGCTGTCTAATGGCTCCAGCATTATTAGCATGTGGCACACACAGCACTGGCGCTAATGAACTCTGCCATCCGAAAGAAATGTGACTGAGTTTGTCTTAAACCCAATGCGCTGTCAGCGATGCTCCTTGTCCCCCCGCCACGATGTGACGAGCTCATTGCATCCTTGTCAGTCAGATCTCATTTCTTAAAGGGATAGTTCACCCACAAATGAAAATTCTGCCATTAATTACTCTCCCTCATGTCCAAACCCGTAAGACTTTCGTTCATCTTCAGAACACAAATGAAGATCTTTTTGATGAAATTTGAGATATTCCTGTTCCTCCATTGACAGTCTACGCAACTATAGGGGTGTAACATCGATATGGATCGATGCATCGATCAAACGTCACGATACGATGCATCGATTCCACACATAAAATATCGATGTACGGTACCTTTATTTTGACACACTCCACATCCTCACGTAACTTTTCTCCGCTGAAATAGACGCCTGACAAGATTGACTGAACCCTTTGTCACAAAAGCCGGTATTTTCCACTGTCATCGCGAGTTCATGTTTTACAGCAGAAACAACAAGCCCCGAAAAGTCTGTTTTAGCAAATCTGTACGCAGTATTCAGGTCAGGTGACGCTGCTTGTCACTTTGAAAAGAGTCAAAAAGACGCGCTAGCTGAGAGGAGTTTCGTCAAAGCTGACTAAAAGTGATCGAGGATGGATTTCAGCGAACTTGATGAACCTGTGATATCTTCTTCGGGGCGTAAAAGTAAAATAAAAGCTGAAACTTTGTCACGGAAGCTTGTTAAAACAGCACGTTTAGTGGTGAGTGAAAGGCTCTCTGTATCGCGTGTACGTTAATCACAACAACAAAGTTTGACAGGCGTCTATGTCAGCTGAGGAGATTAACGTTACAGATTAATAACCAAGTGTTTTATTATGTATCATAGCAAATACTTGGCTTTGTTTAACTCTGAAACATGAAATGTGGAGCTGTCTGCTTTTGCCACACACACAGTGCCACAGTTCATTTGCAAAAACAGATAACTCCGTTCTTGTTTATTTTCATATATAATGTTTTTTTTTTACTTGTAGCAGCTAACAAAAAACTTGTAAATGTTCGAAATTGGGAGAGGGTGTCCAATTTTAAAAGAGTTTAAATAAACGTTCTTGTTATATATTTTTGGATGTATTGTGAGTTAATAAACGTAACCGGTTGTGTACACTTGGCACATAATATCTAAATATCGATTAATTGATCGATATAGCCCTGAATCGAATCGAATTGTATAATTTTTTGAGGTATCGGCAAATATCGTATCGCTGGCTGAGAGAATCGATATCGTATCGTATCGTGATTACACCCCTACGCAACTACCACTTTTACGCTTCAAAAAGTTCATAAAGAGATTGTAAAATGAATCCATATGAATTGTGCGTTTTAGTCCAAATTTTCTGAAGAGACTCGATGGCTTTATATGATGAACAGTTTGAATTTTAAGCTTTTTTTCACATGTAAACATTGATCAGCGAACATAAACAGAAGCTCATTGGTTCTTACACGTCATGTGAACATGCTTGAGCTTCCGTTTACCACAACTAATGTGTGAGTTGATGAATTCAATCTGTTCGCATCATATAAAGCGATTGAGTCTCTTCAGAAAATGTGGACTAAACCGCTCAATTCATATGGATTATCAGCATCTCTTTATGAACTTTTGAAGCGTCAAAGTGGTAGTTGCGTAGCTGTCAATGGAGGAACAGGAATATCTCAACTTTCATCAAAAAGATCTTCATTTATGTTTAGAAGATGAACAAAAGTCTTTGTTTTGAACAACATGAGAGTGAATAATTAATGACAAAAATTAACTTTTGGGTGAACAAACCCTTTAATGTAGTTCTTCCACCTAACCCTTCTTTTGAGTTCCTCCATCGGCAGAAACCCGCATCATAATGGATAAAAGAGACTTGAATTCTGTGTAAATAATGGGATTATATTTGCTTTCAATGACTTAGTTTGTAAACCTTGCAGTGGTTCTTGTGATCTTTTAGTTTTGGAATAAAGTCAATGTTTATGTCAATGTCCAGACAGCTAGAGGTGTTTAAAACTGCTTTCTTTCAAAAATCAAGTCAGATTTATTTTTTCCTAAGCAAAGTTTCAAGTTCGAAATCCAGTCATTTCTTTAAGAGTTTTGCAAACAACTTTTCCCACATAGATTTTGCAACAGGTTCATGTTGGTCACAGAAATGTGTGGTCTTGGTCAACAGAAAGCTGCTTGGTTGGAAAGTGACTTCTGTGGGGACATTTCTACAAAATTATATTACGTTGCAATGTTTCATGTTGCACGTTTCATTGCTTTGAAAGGAAAGCAATGAAACATGTTGTTGAATGTATCACAGCAGTTCGGATCACATGCCTTGTGAGTATTGCTTAAACGTTAATGCTGTGTCATGTTTGAAATAACGTAGCACCCGGCCGATAGTGTTAACAAAAACAAACGTGAGGCAACCATGCCATTTTAGCTTCATTTTACAAGTCTTTGTTTTTCATTAATCATGACTCGGTTTTAATGGGACTCGTACCCAAGTTTTTTTACCTTGAAATTTTGCAGAAATTTGAACTCCCTGGGGAGCACCCACAATTGTGATGAATTTTACATGAGCTAGCAAATGTTAAAAGCCAAGTGATCTATTTTGTTTCTGTAGGACGTACGCTCTACGGAGGGTACGAGATGCGTTCAGGGAGAACCGGACAGTGGGAGATCCGAAAGCTGTGGAGGAGCTTCTGAACAAGGCCCGGGACAGTCTGGCCATCGTTCAAAGACAGGTACTGGTCCAACAATAGACTGTGTAATCTGTGGAGTCTGCAGAGCTTGTTGAGAAATAAGAACAACATTTTGTACACGCTTCTCTCGTTTAATCTTGCTGTGCCTGTTTTTGTTGTTCAGCCTCCAATACACACAGTATATAAATTTAAAATATTTTTTTTTACATTAAATATGAAGGTGGCTGAGAGTGAGATTGCTTCTATTTTTGATTCTATTTAATAATATTTTTGTACTACAAGTTATATTGTCAGAACAATCTGAATAAGATATTCTCATGAGTTCTTATGATCAATTAATTTACTTGTTTTATTGGTGATCTAGAAATAGTGGTGAAATCTGAAATATTTTTATTTTGTTATAATGTCTCTTTCTTTTTTTCTAAATCCTGTCATTTAATTTCCGGGCAATTATATAATTATAAATTATGAAACATATACAGGTTTTGGGTCAGTACGATTTTTTATAATTTTGAAAAAAACATTTTTAGGAAACGAATATATGTGAATATATTTTCAAGTGTAATTTATTCCTGCGATCAAAGCTGAATTTCCAGTATCATTACTCCAGTCTTCAGTGTCACATGATCCTTCAGAAATCACTCTAATATGATGATTTGATGCTCAAGAAACATTTCTGATTATTATCAATGTTGATAATAGAGTTGTGCTGCTTCATATTTTTGTGGAAAGTAATGTTTTTTTTTTAAGGATTCTTTGATAAATAGAAAATTAAAAAAGAACAGCATTTATTTGAAATATATATTTTTTGTAACAATATAAATGAGTTTATTGTCACTTTTGATTAATTTAATACATCCTTGCTGAATAAAATAATAATTTAAAAAAAATCTTAGTGAACCCAAACTTTTGAACGATATTGTGTTATTGTATGTCGTTTTATTTTTTGCCCCGAATTGGAGTCAAGATTACAAGACAGAAAAAGTAATGCATTTACTCTGTGGGCGTCCGTACTGCCGTGACCTTGCATGAACTAACGTTGCAAGATTTCTCAGTTCCATGTTGAAAAATGAATCGTTGGAAGTGTGGATGGACTCTAGTTAAAACACCCATTCATTTAATTCTGATTTAGAAAGAAAGACTCTTGAACATGAACGTGTTCCTAGTAATTCAATCTAACAAATTCAGCTACACTTTTCATTGCAGTTGTCCTTCTATCTCATAGTGAGGTATGCAGAAAGGCCTATGGATTATCATGCTGTTTAATTTAAAGTCCATCCTCTTGTGTTAAAAGAACAGCCTCCTTCATCAAACTTCATTTTCGCTCTGCTGGAGTTCCTAATGAAGGAGCTGTGGACTTCATCTTCTGTCTCTGTTCCCGTATAATTCCCTGTATCCTCCTGAGAGCTGGAGGAGGTCGTCTCCAGATGCATATATGAACACCTGCTCGGCCTCCACCTGTCCGCACACACACACCACTAATGACCCATCATGCCTCGCTGTAACGCACTTTGTTCCCATAATTCGGGGCAAATCCCGCCCATTGCGGTAGGGTAGAAGTTGTGTTGGACTTTGGGTATTTTAAAAGGTTCTTTGTATTTTTCTCATTATTTTTGGCTCAATCCCTCAAAAATATTTAGTGTTTGAAAATTGCTAAAATGCATACAAGAATATGCATTATTAAGAATACATAAATGCTTGACGTCTCCAAGAGAGAGGCAGAGAAATATCATGTAGCCTTTCATATCATACAAGGTTTAAAACATTTAAATAGACATATCAAGTAGTTAGTAGACAAAGTGGATGATTCAGTATCTTAGGCTCTGTTTACAGCTGGTATTAAGATGTGTTTTGGTCGATCGGATCACAAGTAATCGAGGGAGACACATACCCGTTACACCTGGTGTTTTAATCCGTCTCTTTCAACCACTTCTGTCCTGATTTGTGATCGGTGATCGGTGGGTAAATATATATATTTTCAGATCTTTCGATCTAATGGACGAAATAAACCTACGCAATTTACATATGAACGTGTCCGGAGACGATGATAAAACACACGGAGAGCATCAGCTTTAGTGTCTGCTCGGACAGTCTCAAGATCAGCCGGACGCTGTGAGTGTGTGTTAGAAATCAGGAATGGAGAGAGAACATTGTGCTTGGTACATTTTTCATCTTCAAACCAAACTTGGGTCTTAAATCCAGTCTGGCTAGAGCTCTTCCTGTAATGTTTACTCATTAGATCAGTAGACGGGGAGCAGACGGTGTTTTGTGGCTGTTTGAACACATTCATCCACATGAGCGTTTACACTACGAAATCAATCCGGTCAAATGCGTTTTCAACTCCCTGGTCGAAAGTGGACAAGCTCAAAACGTTTAACACCCCGTTTACACCTGCATTTAGTGTCGTCTAATACCAGGTGTAAACATGGCCTTAGTTGATATTCTTGCCAAGCTCTGATTTCTGAGAGACACACAGAGACGGCGACGCTACTATTTGATGTGAGTTTACATTCCTTCACTTCAAATACTCGTTATTGCGTAGTGATTTTAGAGGTTTAATATCAAGCTATCTCACCTGTTACAGCAAACACGAGGAATGACTGTGTCTGCCGAATATTCGTTATTCATTTTAAAGTCATTATCCGTGCCTTTCCGGCTTCGGGCACATCCCTACTCAAAAACATATATTTTTCTCTTGAAATAAGAAAACGTACAGATCTATGTTAAGAACTTCACAAAAAAGGGGTTGAAGGAAGAATAGGAGGTACTGGGATAATTTGTTTCTTGTCTCGCACCAAAGACGGTGAGCTGTCTTTGAGAGCGAATCAAAGTACAGCCTTAGAGATCAGTCCATCACGCTGTCTGCATTAAGAGCTTCTGTCACCCTGACACTCTCAGCATGGGAATCAATGAAGTTAAACTTCCTGGGGAGTTAAAACAAATCTTCCATGAAAGTTGTAGAGTCAGGCGCAGAAGAGCTGGTTTACCTCTATTTTGAAATGCAAGTTGCTTTGCCCGATACATAAGCTATTGTATATGAGGGCTTTTAGCAATGCAAGCTTAATTTCAAGCTTTTCTGAACATCCAAAATCTCACTGTGCAAGTTATTTAAAGTTAAACTGTTGTTGACATAATACTGCATCAGCTTTTTGACAGGCGTTTACAAGGTAACTCTGTCGCCCCCTTGATTACTAAGGTTTGTTACTGCTATACTGTCGCAAGATTATTATTGTTGTTGTTGTTGTTGTTGTTGTAAACAATGACAGTTGTAAACATAATAATAATTGTTGTTGTACTTATTATTGTTATTATTTAATATAATATTCAGGCAGATTTGTTCTTGAGCTTCCCGAGGGGTTAACACAAGATCTTCAATGAAAAATGAAAACACAAAGACTACAATTTATTATTAACTGTCAAACTGCACATTTTAAAAGTTATTCCAAAAGTTGAGTAAATATTCAAACAATAGATTAAATAATATACTTAATTGTGATATGTCATTAATGGAAATGGTCGTTTGGTTTCTGATCATTCACAGAGCAGAGAAGACCAATCACAACAGACTGGGCCATCTGACCAATCAGAGCAGAGTAGACCAATCACAACAGACTGGGTCATCTGACCAATCAGAGCAGAGAAGACCAATCATAACAGACTGGGCCCTCTGACCAATCAGAGCACAGAAGGCCAATCACAACAGACTGGGCCCTCTGACCAATCAGAGCACAGAAGGCCAATCACAACAGACTGGCCCCTCTGACCAATCAGAGCAGAGAAAACCAATCACAACAGACTGGGCCCTCTGACCAATCAGAGCACAGAAGGCCAATCACAACAGACTGGGCCCTCTGACCAATCAGAGCAGAGTAGACCAATCACAACAGACTGGGTCATCTGACCAATCAGAGCAGAGTACACCAATCACAGCAGACTGGGTCATCTGACCAATCAGAGCAGAGTAGACCAATCACAACAGACTGGGTCATCTGACCAATCAAAGCACAGAAGGCCAAACACAACAGACTAGGGGTGGGGGGAAAAATCGATTCTTAGATGCATCGCGATGCGGATGTGGACGATTCTGAATCGATTCACAATTGTCAAAAATCGATTTTCCAAAAAAAAAAAAAAAATTTAGAAATATATTTATAATAACGTAATATTGACGGAACGCGAAAGACGGAACTCTGAAGCGCGGAAGTGCAGTGGTCGGACCGTCTGTGGCGTGCACATAACAGACGCGGACGCGATGGCTGAGCGCCAAATCCAAACACCCTCCTCGTTAAAAGCTGACGTGTGGAAATATTTTGGCTTCTGAAGTTGAAGGGGGAAAGGAGCTGGACAAGAGCCACACTAGTTGTAAGCTTTGTAGAGTAAAACTAAAATATTTCGGAAACAAGACACATATGAGAAGCCATATGACACGTTTCCAGCCAGAGGAGGAAAAACACTCGGCTGTAACGTTACCGGTCGTTGTTATATTATTAATTTACTACAAATATGCTGCTGCTAGTTCAGACACACATGTATTTTCCTGTTGGTTCTTTGCAATGTTAATAAAATATATTGTACGTTAATTCTTTATGGGTCATTACTTTGTACTTTTAAAGCAAAGTATTTATAGTCACACACACACAAAAAAAAGATTCTGATAATCGATTTAGCATCGAATCGCAGCCCTCTGAATCGTAATCGAATCGAATCGTGAGGTGCCTAGAGATTCCCACCCCTACAACAGACTGGGTCATCTGACCAATCAGAGCACAGAAGGCCAAACACAACAGACTGGGTCATCTGACCAATCAGAGCACAGAAGGCCAATCACAACAGACTGGGCCCTCTGACTAATCAGAGCAGGGAAAACCAATCACAACAGACTGGGTCATCTGACCAATCAGAGCACAGAAGGCCAATCACAACAGACTGGGCCCTCTGACCAATCAGAGCAGAGTAGACCAATCACAACAGACTGGGTCATCTGACCAATCAGAGCACAGAAGGCCAATCACAACAGACTGGGCCCTCTGACCAATCAGAGC